ATATAATGGAAGCATATATCAGGTTGAATGTTAGACGGTAGTTTCATTTGCAAAAAACTGGTTCCATGTTAGTGAACCTACTGCAAAGTTATTCTTTTGCCTAACTGACTGCATTTGCAGAGAAAATCCGCCCGGAACAGGCTGCAATCTGTTCCCATCTGAATATTGTCGGTTTAGTCGGCAGTATTGACAACGATTTTTGTGGCACGGATATGACCATTGGTGCAGATTCTGCACTGCATCGGATTATTGAAGCTACGGATGCGCTCACAACGACTGCTTTGTCCCATCAACGTTGTTTCATCCTGGAGGTGATGGGCCGGCATTGTGGTTATTTGGCACTAGTCGCCTCCATGGCTTGCGAAGCCGATTGGGTGTTCATCCCAGAACTTCCCCCAGCCGATGACTGGCGCGAAAAATTGTGTAAAAAATTACGTCTCGTAAGTGTTGTTTTCTTGCTCCACTGGCAATATTAAACTCAGTGTGAAATTTTAGCACCACTGTCATTGTATGTTTTACGGATCAAGGGTGAAACATTAGATTCCGAAAGGTCCCAATTTCATACTCCGTTCGCATGTCTAACGGACCAATACCTTGTTTGTGTCGTGACCTAACTCACTATCTAGTCCGAGTTTTGATTTGTAAAGTTCCTTCCTAGGATTACTTTTGACTGTTGGAAAAAGGACGTTTCCTTGGTGAATTCAGAACACCAGCTGATGGACAATTCGTCACTCATTAATTCCATATATGATGCTTGTGACCGAGAGAGATGATTGCTTGATGACACCTTGACCACCCAAAGAGATCAATATTCACTTCTCGAGTAAATTTGATCGTCTGCCGCGCAATATATAGCACTGTTTGACTTCTTCTAGGGTTCCACAGTGATTGGAACGAAGGTGTACAATTTTCACGTCTACGCATTAGTGAGTATCAAAAGGTCTTAATGATGCGCAATGTTTTGACCTACCAGTTATGTTACCCGCGCTGCCGCTTCTCGTGTTGTGATCCCTAGCTAACTGAGTAGCCGCATTGTTGCCCATGTTTCCTATCAGCATATGGGGGGCACATCAGACTTTCAGCTAACCATTGTACATGGGGGTGACTTGACGCTTCTCACGGTGTAGAAATGCTGTTGATTTTCTTCAGACTTCAGGCTCGCTTGATCAGTCGCAAACAGAAATATGTCCACTTGAAACCTCACTGAAATAGCTAATAAGTACGGATCGTATAAAATGAAGAGAGAAATTTCCTCAGCGTTTGGGTTGAAAAACTTCCCCACTGTTTCTATTTTGGTGTTCCTTTGATTAACCACAGTTGTTTTCATAAAGATTGCTTGTAAAATTTTCTCCCCAACAAGTCAGTAAAAAGGGAACAGCCGTAGAAAAAAATATCATAGTTATTAAGATCTTGGCAACTATATCGGTATACTGTCGGTGGGGTAGAGTGACATTTTCGTCACCAGCAGATGCTATACTATTTGACGGGCGCGAAAAATAACTTGTTTTAAGCATAGCATTTTGCGCTTTCGTTAATAATACTGACAACTAGCCCGTTATACCTTCTAGGTAATCATTTACTCTAATCCTTTGCATCTGTTTACGGTTTCAGTTGAAAGAGCCTTCAACCTGCCAACAGTGGAGGCGCTGTGGTTCTTCTAACTTTGCCTAAAGCGTTTTTCCGCTCTAATAGGAAATGTTGCATATCAGCATTCTTATTGATGATGTAAACTGTATAAAACTTTTTGTAATTCATTCTTTGCTATCCAATATATTTGTGATTTTTAGGTATCGTAGGCTTCTCGCTCCACGCAATACCTAAACCGGTATTTTGACCGCTTTTGAGTTAGGTTCAATTTTACGCATCGCGGTATGTTTTTTAAGGTGGTATTTTCTCAAACCGATGTCTCGGTTTATCTAGGATCGGGAAGCAGGTCAGCGCCTCAGTATTATCATGGTTGCTGAGGGTGCGATCGATCGTCAATGTAACCCAATAACTTGTGAAGAGATTCGCCAGTTGATTGTTTCCGAGCTCGGTTTTGACACACGAATTACCGTTCTGGGTCATGTGCAACGTGGTGGTCGCCCATCTGCATTCGATCGGATTCTGGGCAGCCGTATGGGAGCTGAGGCTGTCCTGGCCCTGATGGACGCTGATCGCAACCGTGACCTACCGGCGTGTGTAATCAGTTTGGATGGAAATCAGGCAGTTCGTGTTGCACTGATGCGTTGCGTAGAAAAGGTGAGCGGGACCGTGATGTTGACTTACTTATAATTTCTAAAGTGTGCATATATATCTTCCAATTACTTTTTCATTTACGTATCCCTAACAACAAGCTATTTATCGTCAAGTTCTATTCTTTAATTCAACCACTGGGTTTGTTCTCATGCGCTCTCGTTCTCTCGCAATCATGGAAAAACCATGTTGAAGCACATCTCATCTTGCATTTGAGAATTCTCGCTAATTAGATTTTCTGGTTAGGACTTCTCATGGCTTCTACAAAACCAGTAAAAGTGTCAATAATTCGGTTAGCTGGCACGCTGAGTTAGATGATGTATTTATCTATACAATGAAATATACAAACATACAGGGGGTTTCAAATGCTTCAAGTGCGAAGCTTATGGTTTTGGCAATCAAACATCTGAGTCATCCAGTCATCGGACCATCGCATGAAGCAATGTTTGATTTCTTGACTCAAAATTGTTTAGGGATAGAAATTGCTTGTTCGCCGTATCCGAGTTACCCGTTCACATCATCAAATCATTTATTTGTATAATTGCCCCTTGCTTTTCAGACTCGAATGGTTGGCGAGGCCCTTAAAGCCAAGCAATTCGATCGTGCAGTTGAACTACGTGGAGCGTAAGTTTGTTGTAGTCTGCGGTAATCCACCATTCCTCGAGCAGTTTGTGCCACGTACTGCAGCAGATAATCTAAATTTCTTAAACGGACTTTTGGCTGTTTTTGTTCATTGTTGTCATATTTGTCCTCGCCTGATGACTATGAGCAGAGGCTACTAGAATATATTCGGGATAGGTTTGTTTGTGACACAGTTTGGATTCATACAAGAATTAAATGTAAATACTGATGAAATTATATAAACCATCTGCAAAGTAAAACGTCCGATGTTAATGGAGTAATCGAACTGGTTCTGATTGTAATGCCGTTTGTATTATAAATCAACTAAAACATTTTCACCTGTTGTTTATAAGTCCCGGGTACAATAAACCTACTAGATTTCTGATGTATTGGTACTTGGTTTCCGTATTTCCTGGGAAATCAACAACTTCCATATGTTTCAAATAAGAAGGATCTTGGTGTCATTGTTCAAGACGACTTAAGTTGTTCTTTAAACTGCTGCCGGGCGTTGTCCACCGCTGTAAGGCATGTTAACTTGTTAGAGCGAGTATTTGGCAAATTTGAACCGACGCTGTCCCCATCGGTTTTTAAGGATGGAGATCTAGCCTTGGTTTTGGAGTTATCGAAACTCCTGGGCTCATTGTGGGAAATGAAACAAGTTCCAACTGAATGATGTGAATCGGTGATCATACCGATTTACAAGAAGGGCGACAGGTCCTCTTGTGAAAATCACAGAGGAATTAGTTTAATTAACATTGCCTCTAAATTTCTCACCGGGATCATACTCCATCGATTTTCTGCCGCTCGTGAAGAGTGCACACGTGAGAACCAGGCTGGTTTTAGACCTGGTCGAGGTTGTATCGACCGCATCTTTACTCTTCGTCAAATCCTAGAACACTGACAGTTTTCGTAGACCCACCATTTCCATCTTCCTCGACCCGAAAGCGGCTTTCGACTCAGTCGATCGCTCTAAACTCTGGCGCTGTCTCACCCTGAAGGGAGTGCCCGAGAAGTTTATTTCAATATTACAATCGCTCTACAATAATAGCCGAAGCCGAGTTCGAGCTTACGGCACT